AATTGAGAATATTGCATATTTGCTTATTCTTGTACTTATATTTATATAATGACACGAGCATTCATCTTTTGCAGAAGTCATCTTTACGGCATCCTTACCAACAGATCAAAGTTTTACGGAAAATTCTGATGTCGTCTGTCTAATCAAATAGAACTATTGAACTACTTTTAAATTAACCAGACTTTCACATTATTAAAACTTAAGTCTTATAAACGCTGAATAGCCGTTCGAAACGACCATGTTGAACATTCTGATAGTCTCTCTGACTTTAAGAAATATCATGTCTAAAATATCACACCGTCGGAGCCTCAAATGCAAAATGCACGACGTAAACATTAATAGTTGAAAATGCATAATTGTACATAAGTCACAAAAATTTGTCCCATTTCATAACTCATTTTCTGTTGGCTATGACTTCAATAAACACCCCATGTTCTAGCATTTCACGTAGTTTTTCATGCATGTTTTTACTTGTCCCAACTCCCATCGGATATCCGTCGGCCGAATTCTAGAACCGGACGCAAAAGAAGATCAGCATACCTGAAAATTCTTTTCAAATGATAAAGGATGTCAACTCTACCGAAAGGTTCCAGAAAGGAGATTCCGCGAAGAGACTGACCTCAAGATCCAAGAAGAGCAGTGTGGCTTCCGGCCCGGTCGAAACAGCTCTGACCATATATTTGCCCTGCGCCAGATTGTTGAGAAATCGTGGGAGTACGCCCAGCCGGAGTACATGTGTTTTGTGGACGTAGAGAAAGCGTATGACCGGATCCGACGCAAGAGTCTCTGGACAAGCGTTCGTGCATACGGGATGGATGGCGAGTTGCTAAGGGTCATCCAATCACCGTATTCTGATAGCAGGTGCTGTATCAGAGTTATTGGCGTTAAGTCGAAACCATTCAACGTTCGCACTGGTCTCCGCCAAGGCTGCGACCTGTCCCCTATCCTGTTTGTGTTTTTCATGGATAGAATGGTCAGGAGCTGCCGAGGCGATGAGGATATCGGTGTAGGAGATGTGATGTTAAGAAAGTTGCTGCTTGCAGACGACCTTGTTTTATTTGCATCTTCTGAAACTGATCTTCAGTGCTCTCTAGCAAGGTTTGCAGCCGTATGCGACGTGACCGGCAGGCGTGCGAAGGCATCTAAAACCAAAAGCCTAGTGTTTTTTCATTCTCCTGCCCGTTGCTGTCTTCAGATGAATGGAGAGGGAGTAGAGCAGGTGGAGAAGTTCAGGTACCTCGCAACTGTATTTACTAGTGATGGAAAATTGGAGGAAGAGATCGACCGGCGAATTGGTGTAGCCACTGGCGTTCCTCGTGAACCAGCCCGACCCATTGTGACTAAAGCAGAGCTCAGTCTGAAAACTAAGCCCTTGATATTCAAGTCGATCTTCATCCCCATACTTACCTACGGTCATGAATCGTAGACCATCACTGAAAAACTTCTAACCCAGGTTCAAGCTGCTGAAATGGGCTTTCTCAGACGAGTCGCTGGTCTTACGCGTCTCGACAGGTCCGGAATAGTGACATCCGGAAGAACCTTGATATTCAGCCTTTGCTTCTCTAGATTGAGAATTCACAGCTGCGATGGCTTGGGAAATGCCTCCAGAAATGTAGGCTAAGCAACTTTTCTTTTTGCCAAATCGACCTTCAGAATGCTCAGGGGATGGCCAAGATTAACCTTGTGCAAACATATGGAAGGAGTCTGTTCCAGACTCCAGTTGTCTTCTGCCGAAGCTCAGACTCTGGCTCAGGATCGGGAACGTTCGAAGCTATGTCTGACGCGTCTGCCTCCGGGACCCGAAAGGAGAAGCGGCGATGGGCGATGATGATGATGATGATAATGAAAAAACTAACATTATGTGAATATATGTGCACTCTTAGTCAATTCAGCGGATTTAAACGAACGTATGGATACATGAGACATTGGCAATGACTGAAAAGCTTCGATTGCTGGCACAAGCTGATTGAAGTGAGCTCTGTAGACGAATCGCTGAATTCAAGTGTCATCATAGAATTTGGAATTCAAATGCCCAAGAGAGCATTTGGGTGTACAGCAGCTGTTTCTTCCCTTTGAGTTGTCATATAGTGTTGCCACTTTTTTATGAATACTTTCAAAACAAATGCAAAATATCTACTGTTTGATTAATCGACTGGTCAGAGACCCGAGGAACGGCCAAGAATGGCATGGAGCAGTTGCCTCGATGGAATCTGCTCCAAACTCAGATTATCTTTTACCGATGCTCAAACTTTGCCTCAGGATCTGGGGCTTTGGAGACACTGTCTGACGCTGCTACTTCCAGATAAACGGAGGATAAGGAATTTCGAACAGATCAGTGGTCATCGAGACTAAACTGATTAGACTGAAACATTTACATCCTGAGAGCGCTGTTCATATACTAAGCCTGAGTTGTAACATGGCTCAGTATTAGAGGCTCGATCTTACTGGACTAGACTCTAGACACGGCTGCTCAGGTGTTACTTCTATGAATTTGGTAGAGGTCAGATAGCCAAATTTGTTTAAGATGAATAGTTGCTATTTGGCACGTTTCCAATAGTTATTGTGTCGTGGAAATTCGTTACTGTGCTTTTTCAGAGCTCCCGAGGTGATTACAGTGTAACAGATATTTCGATGTTCTTTATGGAGAAAATATAATCGACGTATAACATCTCCGTATTTACCTGACGTTGTCCACCATCTCCTTGTTTCTAGCGGCAAGTGATTATGTATTCGACTAGGCTGTTGCTTAGCGCAACAGTGACGCGGTTTTGCATCCGTATTCTGCATGTGCTATAATAAAACGGACCTGTAGCAGGTTACAACGTGCTCGAGACCGCGAGATATAAGGGGACAGTACAATTAGCAGACAAAGCCGAAAAAGTGATTGCGACGTATATATGTTATTCTGACAGATAACATGAGAAACTAGTATTTTGTTTAGGAAACCCAGAATTCTCGGCTTATTTATAGTATATCGAGAAGATTTGAAACTTGACATTGATTTCAGATCAGAAGCTTACGGTACCTGTTTAATAAGTTTGCTGATCCTTAGCACTGTACATTAGGATACACTGATCCAGTGTCAGAAATCGTACCTGGTTATCAGTTGAACGTTTTATCAGAACGTCAGGTTTTTTGCGTTAAAATGTGATCAAAGTTTGATATGAACCAACATCGTGATTCATTTTTGTTAAACTATTGCAATGCTTAGACGAGATTGACAGATTTAGTTTTCACTGTTAGCATGGTGTGAGATACAATCTGCGACGGTTAAGCGGTAACAAATGAAGTAACCTTTCTGAATCCAGTTGTCCTCTATGATTTGATTCGTTCCAGTGAATACCATTTTCTGGTCTTGCCCCACCTTCTTAACTTGGTTAGTCCAAATGAGCCGTAATAGCCTTCATCGATAGCCAGATGCAGCTAGTAATTGCGATGAAGTATTGAAACAAAGAAAGTCTTCCAATGATTCCTAGGAAAAAGATATTTTATTAAGCCGGCTGTTCAGATAAAATTCACACTGTCCATCCTCATGCATACATGGATTTTTGATGATTGTGAAACAACCCAAATGATAGTCACCGTATTGTAGCTATGGCAGTTTTGATGTTCATGGTGGTTAGCGTTGAAAGGTCATAAGTCACATGTTTGGCACATCGTCATATCTTTATGAAACATTGCGATGCTTATGAGACTGTAGTTTATCAACGTTTATAATCTCGGTAACCTTGCATAGCAGTATTAACCGGAATTTGGCATCACTGCTGTCAATTAACTTCGCCAGGATGAGACTGGTAAAATTTATGATTTGGTCTGTCGCAGGTTAAGGCGTTGGATCTCCAGTGGGGCACGCGAAACGTCACTTCGCACAGCCACCTTTGTCCCGCAAGAATTTAGCTTACAGCGATGACTTATCAAAATCGTCCAAGAGCGGAAGCTACCGTTATTATTAATAGGACCATGTATATTAACGTAATATAAATTTTTAGGACTTTTCTTTTCATATTTATCATCGCAAAACTTATACTCAGTGCCCTTTTATTATCAACCTCAGTCATGTATAAACGTTTAACAGCGCAGTCATTCATGATTCGTTGGTCCTCAGCCATACTGTTCCCTGTTCTCAAGCGTAATGTGCTATCTCTGGATGTTCTGTTCAGTTCTGCGTCCCTTCCGTGGCCACCGAGTATATGTTAACAGACAGTCATGATTTTTTTTAGTGTGTGACATTTCCTTGCTATGAGTAAATTTTTCATTTTGTTTCTGCTGATGTCGTGTCATGACTGCGACCTCATCCTGCAACAGATTCAAACTTTCATTAATGCTTTCTTGTAACCAGCGTTTCACAAGCTGTAGTAATCATTTTATTTTCTTTTGTGCTTGCGTTTAGCAACTCTGACACTTGCTATCTTTCTACAACCTAAACATAAAATTTAGGCAAATTCATAATGACATGGAAAGCATGATGATTCAGTGGTTGTCTAGTCTTCTGTTGCTTTGGTTACCTCTGAATGTTCCTCGAGCGATTATTTCGTCGTTCATTACGACGAGTGAGAAGAACAAGCTTAATCGTATATTCGTCTCGATAGCATAGATTTACTTTGAAAACTGCTTGCCTTTTACGTACGCAATATCACAAGCTGAGTTTATTTGAAAATTTGATTCATAAAGTCATAAAAATATTTAGATGATCATTATTTAATTCTGACTCTTCCAAATACATACTTGGAACGAAGAGGTGTGCTTTTGGTCCATGCAGCTGGTTAAACAAACTGTTATACATTTTCCCGGTTGACCTTTACACAGGATTTGATATTCAATGAGTCTTTGATGCGTCTGTTCAGACACTTTCTTTCTTTAATGAAACTAAGATGATTACGGGATGCCAAAGAAGAAGCTCACAAGACAGGTGCTTCTGAAAAGCCAAATGGAAATAGACCAAGAGCAGGCCAAGGGACAGATGACTCGATTGAGTTAAGCACATGATGCAAGAATGATTGAACTCACGACGCTATTCTGAATTCGATCCAAATTCTTCTCTGTCAGTTGTTAACTCCTGCTGAAGAAAGGACGTAAAGTGCCACGGGGGGGGGCGCTTTGACAGGTTGAGACCGCGGTTGCTCACCACTGGTCAGCGACATGCGCACAAACAAACCATTTTATAGTGTTCCAATTAGTTTCTGAATCGCCTAAAACATTCTGAGAGGCCAAAGCAATGGACGTCATCAATCTTGATATTTTGTTCTTGACTCTGATACCTTGACCCTGAGATGACAATGATAACAACAGCAAATTTCTGAATCAGTTTTACCGAACGAAGGTTGGAAAGCCATGGGCAAAAATTCACGAACGTTCGTGACACTGCTGAACAAGCAGTCGTCAAGAAGTGCTTAAAGAAGGAAGAATGACAAACAGATTTGTACCGACTACGATGTTTGCCAGATCAGCGTCTACAACTTGATGAACCATGCGACGTGATTGGCTCCGATGGTCAAATTACCTGGTCAGTGGTTGAGGTGGAAGACAGAACAAAAGAAATTAGAGGATTGCCTGACTGTGTTCTTGGCACACCCGCAAGGAGGACGTGTCGGATAAAAAATGATATAATTTTATCATTTTGTCATTACTCACTGCCGTACATATGATACATATGATCATTTCTGCATTCATATATGTTCATAATGCGCCATTCCTTTCAGATTGTGGTAGTACAGTTTGTTGAGGTATCTACAGTGGATTCGGCCCTCCAACAACGAGGTAAGCTTCATGGAATAAATTACGAAGTTCAACAGTTCCGCCCAGTCTCATTCGTCACCTCTGGCTCTACGAAGGGAATCCTCAAAGTCACTTCTTTGACATCCTAACCAACTGCTCAAGCACTAATGATGAGTATGATAACAATGTATTGTTTAGGAGATCGTAATTCATTACATTGATATAAAATTTGCGCGAATACCTCATTGAATTAGCATTATTATCTATATCTGTTAAATGTATTGTGCTATTTTCTGGACATCGATTTGGTACGAACTCATAAATCACTGCCTCTTCTGTTTGTTAGAGAGATAACAAACATGCCAGCATTCAACAGCATGAACAACATAGGGTATGTAAGGTCAACTATGTTTTCGGCAGAAACTGCTGTTCTTTAGTCATTGCTACGAGGGGTCGCTTGCAGCAGATATGAAAACCTAAAAATGTTTCGCCCAACGCTACCGTTGATTACAACAGACAACATCATGATTCCAGCCTAGCCACAAATCATAAGCAACTTCCTGTTTTGCAAAGTGGAAAAAAACGATGATGGAAAGACAAGTGCATCCACGCTAAGTAGATTAAGCATGCGCTGTTACCTGACTATAATAATGGTAAATGTGTTCGTTCAGTGAAAAATTCAGTGGCACAATTTTCATCCACATATTGGTGATTCGTTTCTGAAACTCCATGAGTAAAATCCTTCACAAATCCACTTCATTCGCTCCGTTCGGCTAGACTACACGCTCCGAAAATCGGTGCCACCAACTGGTGATATGGTTGTGTGAGTAATAAAACGAAATTGCCAAGAGCCTGGCTGTCATGAGTTATTCAGGCATGAGTAAAAATTTGCATAATTCATATCTGCGTTGGTTGAGTTGTCTAGAATCGAACTGTGTTGGTTGGAGGTTTGCCGGTTTGTGGCCGGCCAGTTGGAATCTTTTTTAACTTACTTTTAGGAAATGGATCTTATTCGTCCAGCTGGGTCTATGCTTATGAATGGCCATGAATTGCTGCCTTATTATGCTTAGCATTATGCTTGTTGATGCAGTCAATGGTATGTCGATATGGAAGTAGTTTTTTTCAAAGTTGTATAGGAAAAAATTAGCATATTTTGCTTTTATCCTCTGCCCTGCAAATACTCATATTCATTTCAGAGGCTTAACTGCTAATTTTGTAACAAGTATAACTTGTGCAAACGTTTGTTATTGTTTGCAAACTAATGAATTAGTGAATTGCGTCATCCCTACTCTGAAATTAGACAGCTTGATGCATCCTTACTATCTTAAACCTGCAATCAGACAGTCTAACAGTTGCCTCCGTTCCATAAAACAGTTCTGTGAATTGCAGTGAATTGACCCGTTGTATGGTAACCCGTGTATAGTTTACTATTCATGTTTTTCGTTAATCTGCTATCGCATCGAGCAACGGTCTTACTCCAGTACGGAAACAAACATGGTACCTTCTTCAAATGAGGCACTATTTGATGTCATTCTGTCAGTTCATGTCGCATGACATTGTGCCATTATATTAGCCTTCGCTATTTCATGACGTTGCAAGTTTAGAAGTGTCAGCGTCCTATCTTTGAACTCGGGTCAGACGTGTTGCCTTAACGTACCTCTAACCAGTCGCTTTTCTCATGAAGTAAGCGAAGTAGTAGTACCTGTTTTATGAATGCTGTTCGAGGGAAGTGTTGGGTGCCAGAGCTTTGTACATTTGTGCTGAATGACACGGATAATCATCAACAGTAGCTTTTTTCCAACCATTGCAGGTTAAAGGTCTCTCTTAGACTTCGCCATAAACTTTTGATTTCTGCTTTTTTATGGTGATCCAGTGAACTTCTACAGCTACTCCTGCTATCGATCTGGAGGTATTCCTGCTGATCGTTTACTCAGTCAGTCTACTATTCAGCTTAGCTTCCCCCTGGTCCAACGATGGTCGGTTCTTGCTGCAAGTAGTCTGCCCATAGCCACTTAAACTTCTTCACTCAGGCAGTGTCATGGCAGACTATTGCTTGTGGTCTTATTTGTTTATTCATCTTCGTATCATTTCTTTTTATTCCCAACACACATCTTTCCATGCTGCGTTGTGCAGTCTGCAGGTTAACACTGGGAGCACACATTGTTCGAATACCTTCCGTTTCAAGCATGCGGAAGTTTCCTGTATAAGAATATCTTTAGTCTTCCAAAAGTATTCCATGCCGTTTTTATTCTGTACTTGATTTCCCATAGTCGGTTTCTAGTTGCAGAGATGAGAGATCTCAGATGGACATAGTTCTGCACCTCTGCAGGTGGAAATACTTTGACTTCAACAGATTGCGGGGTGGCGTATTTGTTAAATATGATGTGAGTTTTTCCGTCCCGCTTTCACGCCGGCGTCGTTTAGCCTTTGAATTCTTCTTTGAGTAAGTCTTGAGAGGATTCGAATGTGGCTTGTTGCCCATTCATGTTCAACCTGATTTTTGTAACGGATTGTCGCGAAGAAGTTTCCTATGTCTACTATTAATAACTTCGATGATTTTGTGTCTTCCTGTCGGCCATCCTCTTCAGTTTTGAACTTGCTTCTGCTTTAGTAAAGCTTCACACTAGCAGTTGCATTTTGTAAATCATCCCAATGAGATCGCTGTATGTTTTCTCCATTACTTAGCTCCTTAAGGAATTTAATACGCTACGAACGTACAATGAGTCGAAATCCATTTTTGACTCAACGAACCTCAGGCAAAGAGCAGGCTGATATTCGTACCTGTCTGAATTGCTTGCTGTGCCTTGTGGTGATGATCCATCGTACTGAATTCACTTCCTAAATCCTTCATGCTTCTATCGCTGTGCAGCGTTCAAGTAAAGATTTTGTAAATGATTGGCAACAAACTAATTGTCCTGTAGTTCTTCAGTTCCTCTGTAGATGTATCCCTTTTTATAGAATAGAATCACCGATGCTGTAGTTCAATCGTTTGGAATTTTCGGTTCCTTGAGGCAGCATGAAAAGAAACACGTAAATATCTTGATTAGTGCTTCACTTTCTGAATCCACGAGTTCCACTCTAATGTTATCACTGTCAGGAATAATTTCTGGCTTTAACTGTTTTTCCGCACGTCGTACTTCTGACAAATATTCGGAGTTTCGTCGTTAGCCTCATTTATATTTTTAGGTTCGTTTTAATCACCTAGCGCTCGATTTATAATTTCCCGTCTGTCTCTGATGATAGTTCTCTCTTTTGCTTTGAGAGCTAAAATGACATTGATGCCAGATGGTATTTACGAAATGATTTCATTGTCGTTTGTATATGTTAACCATTCAGTTTGAGCGGTTTGCTCTGAATGCATAATCGTAAAATTCTAATGATCCTCATTTCAGGAATGGAAACGATTACCATAAACGGAAGGCGAATTCTTTGCATGACAATCAATGACAGCACAATACATGTCTTAAGAGATCAACTATATAACAATACCATTGGTCTACTCATAACTGTTGTCGGAACGAGAACTGAGCAAAAGTTGGAAGATTCGGAAAAGATGAAATTGCGAAACTGTGCCCAAAATTCTACTTCAGTTGAGGAACATGCCCGTTGTTTTGCTCCTTATTTCCAAATGGAGCTGGAAGAGGAAGAACGAAAAAGTGGTTCGTCGGCTGCGTTGAGATCAAATCGTTTTCACTACCGGTTCAGGCGTGACATTTACCGTGACAGCCACACTCTGGTTGGTCAGTTTCTTCACTGGGCAAAGAAGTTACTAGTTAAGATTAAAAGCAGGGGTAAAAAACTCAAAATTTACGCCAATCTTCCATCCCCCTTTCAGCACAGTCGATCCGACAATGAATTTGAAACGGATTCGACTATCCAAAAGCCAACTGCGAAAATTCAAAAAATGATTGACACTTATCGCAACTGTTCTCTTCAAGCCATGACCAATTACAGCTCGAACGTTGACTTAAGGCAATTTGCGGCACCTGATTGGATGAAGAACATGATGATCGATATCAGAGTACTGATGGAACACATTGACAGTGTTGGTGATTTGGCAGACATGTTTAGGGTGCTGTCGCCAAGACTTTTTCCTGTGGAACCGGAGAAGAACGCGGAGCGTATCCTTTCTCCAAATATTTTGAGCTTGTACGATGACAATGACGAATTTTTGTCTTTCACAAACTTACTGTCGCCGATGACCGAATTGGATAGGGTAGCGATGATCGAGCTAGTCAAAGAATTGCTCGACGTTAACGATCTTGTGAATGACACGCTGCATCTCACGCGGGGTGAAACCACGATGAGTATCGAGGAAAAACTGCTGGTAGAGAACGTTGAGAGGTTAGGCCGACTGACGTGGCAGCAACTGCAGGACACTGAGCATCTGAGACTGGCATTTGAACGTCTGACTGCTTCGTATTCCGAGGAGCAAGCCGATGCGCTGTGGAACAACGGTTATACGTTCTTAACGGCTGATCAGCTGCACATCATATACTCAGGGAACGAAACCAAGTTGGGGCTGGATTTGCAAAACTACAATCACACAACCGATCATCAGCGAGAAATTGCCCTGAAAAAGTATTTCATTGCGATTGCAGACGGGAAGGTCAGATTGAATGGTGATAACAGCGAAAACGTCGACGAATTCAGGCAAGAGGAGGAAGTCGTCGAAGGCACGGTATCCATACACCCAAATATTTTATCTCCGCTCATTGGATCACCGACTGTTCTTGGTAACGTCGCCCTTTCGCCATTCATTTTCAGCCCTGTTATTTTTTCACCAAGCACCACAACTATTTTTACTACGAGTCCGATGATCGGTGCCCCGGTTCTTATGTCGCCAGTGCTGGTGCATCCGGACTTTTTGTCTCCAAAGGTCATGAGTCCGTTTATTCTTACACCAGTCGTCGTGACGCCAATTATTTTCGGACCTCTTGTCATTAATCCGTCTGTCATGGTTCCCTTCGCTGTGGCTGCTCTAATTTTCAACGCTGGTTTTCTTAGTCCTTTTGTTCTCAATCCCAATGTCCTCACACCTTCTATCTTGTCACCACAGGCGTATTGGGCCAGCGTTTTGTCACCTGGAGTATTATCGCCGGTCATCGATTCTCCGTGCAAGGTATGCACCGTTATTGGTTCTCCTTGCATTCTCTGTTAGTCAGTTGCTCGTATACCGTTTTCATTACTTTGTTATGCTTCTGCGCATTTATGTTCATTTGAAAGAAAATAAGTATTTCAATTATTGTGTATTTTTAATATTTTTAATGTGCAAATTGTAAAAAGTAAAGTTTTACTCGTGTTAGCATCTCAGTAAAATAATGGTCCAAGGCTGCTTCGAGCTGTGCAAAAGAGTTTTTCAGATTTTCTAAGTTTCGATCTGATTTGTACTTTTCATTTTTTTGAAATAGTCTCGAAAAACACTAATTTTCTCTCAGCCATAATGTTAGTGCCGTGGCGAATATGGATGAAGTTTCGATATTGAAGCCAGAGAAACGAACGGTTCTGTGGCAGGTGATGTAAGTAGTATCCTTTGTTGTACTATATTGGTTGAACACGCTATAGGTACAGAGAAGTAAACGTTTAAAGTTGTTTTTTAACTATGAAAATGCGCCTGATTATCTGGAACGGTTGCAGTTAAAATTTAGGCAATGATTCTCTCGAAGCTA